TGCAGGATCTAAGGCTGATTGATACTTTGTCTCATGGAGGCTAAGGCCTAAGGTGCAGGATCTAAGGCTGATACTTTGTGTCATGGAGGCTAAGGTTGAAGCTTACATTCACTGGCCAAAGCTTAAGCTATCCTAAGGTCATGGTTGTTACGGACTCCACCAGGGCTCGATCCCTGGTCTATCTTTTTGCTGTCTCTGCTGCGTCCGGTTTTCAGCCTGGCACCCTTTTTTCCAAACCCCTCCTTTGGTACCGTCGGATTTTGGACAACTGGCGCCATGCTGCAATTCGGGCACTTTCAAATACCGCATTTTTCAGTTCTGCCCTAGGGGCTTTTAAGGAAATGCCCCTGGTACCGTACGTGTCACCGGTACTTACACCGGCTCCCCGTACATTACGGGGACCAGTCTCGGACCAGTTTTCAGCTGCTGTACTCGTACCCACTGTGACTTGCCCCTGTTTCGGTATCCGGAACCCAAGACTTCGACTTTGTGTCTTTGCCACTGTGTCTGCGTCCGTCGAGTACCTCAGTCGTGTCGAGTGAGTGAGTGTGTGTGTGTGCTCCCACTTTCTCTCTCTCTCTCCTGTCCTCTCCTTCGGCTCTCCCTGTCTCCCTCAGCCTCACACTCGTTACAATGGGTCTTTTTATTTTGGGAAATTTTCCGGAGTGCCCCTCCGACTTCCATTTACTTGCGGTATGCCCCTCCAACGGCCGACTTACCCTGCCCCTGGGGCCTCTGAAGTTTCCTGCATGCCCTTGTTAGTGAGGGGTGCAGCTTTCCATCATGCCCCTGTGGTCGTTGGTGGCACTTGAGTCTGTTCCCCTGGCCCTGGGAGGGGAACTACCGGGGCATACTGGAAATTTGGAACTGGTACCGGTAGGGGCATATCTGAACATACTACAGGCCCAAACGACGCCAGGGATTTCTCGGAAACTTCAATCGTTTTCCGAGGGGCACGGCAGGGTAAGTCGGCCGTTGGAGGGGCATACCGCAAATAAATGGAAGTCGGAGGGGCATTTCAAAAATTTCCCTTTTTATTTCTTAGTTCCGAGTTTATAAGGAATTCTGAAGTAACCCTCGGCCAGAAGTTGTTCGCGTTGCAATTCCGGACAACATATTTTTAAAATTTTTATACATAATTTTTTTGATTTCCACCCCCGGAATTTTGGGCCCCCGCCGAAGTTGCCACCAATTTGCTGAATGTAACGCCTGGCCGTTATAAATGAATATAATGCCAGGCCGTTATAACTTATAAATGAATATAATGCCCGGCTGGCGGGTGTTATGTTTGTATGCAAGGCCCGGGCGTTATTTTTCGGGTGAAGACGGTAATTCAATTGGCACACCTTAGAACTTTTTTTTTTTTCTTTTTTTTTTTCTTTTTTTCAGACAGTCAAACGGATTTTTCCGGCATATGGGTACACCGCCCGGGTTAACTCATCACTCGCGGAATAATGTATACTTAAACCACAGGTCCCCCCGCCATCGAAAACCCCCGGTACCGGTGAGTTAGGGGAGCGTTTTTCGGAGGTCGTCCGCCCCAACTCACCGATCTCGCGAAGTCCCTGGGTACTGCACCAAGGCCCCACGGTGTAGAGGGCGGCCGACGGCGGGKTTTCATCAAGCGGCAGCGAAACGGTCGGGTGGTCCAGTTATTGGGCCGCCGACAATCTGTACTGGACTTTCGCGCTGTGGCGGGAATTGAAGGCCCGCAAT